CTTTGTTAAGGGATAATGTTATTTCGCGAACTTATTTAAAAAAAATCTCAAAACTTTCCTTGATAAGGAAGATTTAAACTAAATATTAATCCTAGTATTGATCCTAAACTAAGAATTAAGAGAACGCTATACCGAGGTAGAAACTTTTCATGGTAAATTCTGCTATTATAAGTGTTCTGTTATCATCATTGGTAATTTAGAATTTAGAGTTAAGAGGTTCAGGTAACCCTAGAATAAACCATTAAGTTACAAATGCTGCCAAAAATATTTTTAAAATATCTAAATACTAACAAATTATCGCAGGATTACTTCCCCAATAAGTAATTCTTAGTAATTCTGCCATAATTTGGTAGCATGCGTTTTGTTGTTTTAAAAATATTTTTTCAGCATTTGAAACTGAATGGTTTATTTTATGTTTACCTCAACTCATTTTTTTCTATTACTTTAAAATTTTAAATATTAATATATTTGAAACAGAATTTGCCGTGAAGTGATTTTTCCGTGATCTAGCGCCTCCTTAAGATATGAAAAACTAACTAATCAATAGAATGTCTTATGAGCTTAACTTATTGTATAAACTTTTTCTGTTATGCACTTTATCAGTGTTTTTAAAATTTACTACACTGTATAACTATAATATGGTGAGCTTACTAAACCATAAAGTTGTTTATTTTCTACGAAGTTAAACCATATTATCATTCTCGATAATATGATTTTCTTTGAATTTGATACCTTATTAAGGTTGCATCAAATTTACACCGTATTATAGCACAAGATACAGCTTCAATTAAGTCTCAACATTGAAATGATTTTTGAGTACAATTGATTTCTTGTTTTTTTTATCCAATAATATTTAGATTAACAGATTTGTGCCAGTTTTCTTTACTTCAAAATTTAAACATTTAATAACCTTTGTTATAAAGGACAATCGAACATTAAAGGGGATCATCACTATAAAATTTTTCAAAAATAAGTACTTTTCGTCTTACGTAGTTCCTTCCCGTGTGAATAAATGTTCAAAATACTTATTTCATCAACTAATTGTATTAATATACAAGTATAAAAAAAAGCTGTTTTTCTTATTTTTTGGTTTGTAGAAAATGTTTTAAAAGATTTTTTTTTAAATGTTCATTGACTTCTACTTTCAAGCTTAATGAGCAAATAGTAATTCAACAAAAAATATCAAATCGTAAACATAAATAGGGAGATTTTTCAGTAACTTAAAAAACTTATCGGTTCTAACATTTCAAAGAATTTTTATAAATTCTTTTTGCATCATGCCGCAGACTTAGAGCTTGAAGTTTAATGTTTGTGCAACATTCTGTGTTAAGACAGTTTATATCGTACCCTTACCTAAGAAAATGACATCAGCATTAAAAAAAAGAAGCTGAAATTCCTCATCTGTGCTTAAATGGGGAGTTTCACACGGAAATGCTCTTCGATTTCACCTCACCTTCCAGAAAGGCGTCATTCGTCAGCTCACACGTGATTTATATTAGTGTTCCTTCATCATCTGTTCTCGCGGTCATTGGTAGCTAGAAGCTTGAACATCTCTCTGGAGGGAAAAAATAGTCAAGGTAAAGTGAAAAGTCTCACACGCGTTCAATAAAATCGCAATATAAATTCAAATGAACATACTCATCTTAATTTATGTTTTCTGGAATTCTAATTGCGCTGACATTTTTATAGTTCCTCGAATAAAATAGGAAATTTTGTCTATGTTGCAAAAGGAATCGAAATATTCACTTTAATTGAAATGAGCTATAAATTATTTATTTTATGGAAATTAATTACACTAGTGGGCTGCACCCCATGCTCGTTAATGCTCGCCAACCCCCGAAAATTGCTATGCAATCTTATATGGTTTGCTTCGCAAACCAAGCTCGCTTCGCTCGCTTCTAACTTAGGTACATTGCAAATGCACAAAATTCTAAGAATTCATTAACAATCATTCAAATCCATATGAAAACTTTTTTTTAAAAAAAAATTACATCTTTTTAGTAAATAATAAGTCATTAAAATAAATTTGAATTCAAATAAAGACTCATTGACTGAGACCCATTTTTCAATGAACAATAATAAAACAAATAAATTCGTGATATAAATCAAAAATCGTCAAATAAATTCGTAGTACATAAATTCGTGAAAAAAAAGCGCTTTCGACAAAATACTAAAATAGAGATCTATCGACAAAGACTACTCACTTCTGCATAGCTTAATAGTATGAGATTGCCGCAGCTGAATTGTTATTTCAGTTTCCGTTTTCAAAGGCGCTATATGTTGAGCCACCTCAGCTAGATTTGGCATGTGACATTTTTAGCGACATTCATGGGTCGATTTTCTAGCGTTGCCATTCGGGGAGTTGTAATGAGGCTTTCTTTTGTCGCCGTGTAAGAGAAATATATATATAGATATTGAAGCAATAAATAACCCAATGGAATAATAAACAATAAAAAAAGCTTATGATAAATAGTAAAGAATAATTAAATTATTTTTTCAGTAATGATTGAAATAATAAATATTTGACAGATGGAAGATGAAATCAAAAAGTTTCAGTGTATTCTTCTTTACAATAACAATTCATTTTATTTGTAACTTTCAGCTTATTAATAAAATTGTGAACTACGTCGAACAAATATATTTGATGTTATTGATCAATTTGAAAAATTATATTATTAAAAACAATTAAAATATATTCTTCATCAATTATTGAAGAAGAGAGAAATATTTGTGATAAATAATTTAAATTATGAACAATTAGTTAATTAATTAAAGAAAGCTGTGAGAAGAAATAAACACTTTCGAATTTAATAATCTAATACTGAGCAATTAATTTAAGTAAGAAATTACAATAAGTTATAATTTTTCGGAATATTTCTTCTCTTGGATTTTAAAATAATATTTGTTCCGATGTAAAGAAAAGATTAATGTTACATTGTTTATTTTTAGTGAATGAAATAAGGAAGACCTATTTTATTATTATTATTATTAAGATAAATAATAACTTATGGTAATATTTGTCAGAATAATTCTTCAGATTTCCAATAAAGTTTAACTGGACGCACTTCTGTACACAATTAAATTACAAGTAACTGGTCTCTGTTCCGATTAAACTAAGTGATTTATAAAAAGTTGTTAATATCCTCAGAACTAATGAAATAATATAAAACGGTCAAAATAAATATTAAATAATATATCTAAAAATTCATTTCATTCGATTAATGAAGATAATAATAGAACTTTATGGATGAAAAACATTGATATTATCTGCTCTTGTTTTCCATTCTCACAATTCTAAGCAGATCTGTTCTTTTTAGAAAAAGAAGGAATGGGGAAAGTAGCCTCGTGCTCATTGAGTCATAATTGAGCCTTTTTATTTAACAAACTTATCGATATGGATACTGACTAGTCTAACAGCTACAAGATAAAGGAAAATGCAGGCATACAAAATAATAAGAAATCGAATTTTCAAGCTTAAAAATATCAATTACCCGTGTGGAATAAGAGCCACTGATTTCTTCCAAAAGGGTAGTTGTTATACGCCATGATGGGTTTGTAAATACGCTCCCGTCTTCTACTTCTCTTGGTTTTAAATTCTAACTTGTATCAATCAATATTGACCAGTGTTAATATAGTGGTTGTAGGTGGGTTACAGTTACGACATTACTGTCGAAATGACCGTAATGAGTTTTCATCTTTTTAGTGGTTGTAGACGGGTTAGTTAAATATAACTGACGAACTGACCGTGGGTAGTTTTCAAAGTTGTGGTAGGCGGGTAGACTTAGAGGTTGGGCAGCTCGAAGAAGTAAGGCGCATCGACCGGAGATCTATATTGTACCCAAACCCTAGATCACGACTAGCGGTAAAGCTTTATAGCTGATATAAAGTTCAGCAAACACCTGTCAGGAATATCCTGTAGTTCCCAGGTCTTAACGCAATAGTGTCCCAGAGGCTCAAATCTTTGATCACGAAAGACTTCCAATTCAAAAAGAATATGTCGTAAAGTCTCCTCTTCAAGATGACAAACAATACTAAGAGGATCGGGTGCAATACCCATTACCCATAATGTAGAGGTGTCTCCTGAGGGTGTAGTGACCAGTGAGAAGACCAATGATTTTGCTCAAGCTATTCCTCATAAGCTTAAGAGGATCTTTTTGACGAAAATGGAGACCGTCTCCATTTAACCTGGTAGGGGGTAAGAGTCACACTACTGTCAAAATGACCACGTGTTAGTTTTTTATAGTGTTTGTTGATGGGTGAAATTCACATTACTGTCAAAATGACCGTAAGAAGTTTTCATTTTTTTAGTGGTTGTAGACCGGTTAGATTCATATTACTGTCAAAATGACCGTGGGTAGTTTTCATAGTGGTTGTAAATGGTTTAGAGTCACGTTACTTTCGAGATGGCGGTGGGTTCATTTCTACTGTGGTAGTAGATTGGTTAAAGTCACATTACTGTCGAAATGACCATAAGCAGTTTTCATTTTTAGTGGTTGTAGAGGGGAATATTACTGTTGAAATGACAGTGGGTAGTTTAATATAGTGATGGTAAACGAGTAAGAATCACTCTGCTGTCACACTGAAAATAGGTTAGTTTTTGCTGTGGCTGTAGGTGGGTTAAAGTGACACCACGGGTTGTTTTTATAGTGGTTGTAGACGGGTTAGAGTTATATTACTTCGAAATGTCGGTGGGTTATTTTTCATATTTATCCCATTACAGTCGAAATGGCCATAGGTAGTTTTTATAGTTCAATTTCCTATGTAACGCAAATACGAGCTAGTTTCAGGCAAAAATTCCCAACATTTTTAACTGCCGGATGTCCGTCTTCTTTTTAGCTTTAAAGATCTTACTTTTTTCATTGTGTTTAACTAATTCTAAATATAATAGTTTCAATAAAATTTTACTTTTAAGAACTTGCAAGAACTTATGTCCAAAATATATTTTCTACTGTGTAATTAATGAAGTAATTTGATTTCAATCAATATGTTTATCTTTGAAGGTTTCATGACTTAGCCAAACGGCATGGATCTATTATGATTCCTGCAGCAGATGGTATGCCACAAGTGTTCACTGACTCAGATCTTAAGCTTCGAGGATTAAATACTATTTGGGGTAGATCTTTGCTCTTACGTAGTACAGCTTACAATACTGACCTTAGAGCTTGTGCCAACCTTGCCACAGATGGCGACGCCAAGACAGTGGAAGCAACGTTCTCTTCGCCTGTTGCTGGAACTGTAATATTTCGCCAGAGTGAACTTGGAGAAACTACTATTTTCGCCAATATTTTTCATACCACAGAGGATTACACACCTTCGACCAATCACGAGTGGAGAATTTTGGCGACAGACATTCTAGACAGATCCAAGGAGCTTTCGAGGAAGAGAAGGTGTGAAAATCTTCAAGTAAGTCCTTTAATGTAAATTATTCTCAGATGCAAAGCTAAAAATGTTTATCTACTAGTTTTTATAGTTAATGAAACACCAATATTAAATATAGAGAAATCATATGTATTTAGTGGTACAGTGTGCAAAATAAAAAACGGACCTCTCTGTATAACTTGTGATCTAATGATCTGATGTTGACGTTCTAGGAGTCACAATCTTTATGGTTCTAGGGGGTGACCTCAAATAGGCTAACTAATTAGTATAGACGATATTTTAAATTACGAAATCAGACACAAAACTTTTTCTGAATAACCATACTTTTTTTCGACGGATTTAGATTTCTGTCTCCCAAAATATAACACGTAGTCGCAATATGGGAAATATGATTCCAATATTTTGGACACCTTAAAAGTTGAGTGCTTTCCTGTCTCCAGAAATTTTTAAGTGAATTGAAAAATTCTACACATAATTATAAAATTTGTTTATTCAAAGAAAGTTAAAAAAAATACAAAAAAATTATAATTTTTTCTATTATTTTATTTAATAATGGTCGAAACATTTTGAACTGTAAGATATAAGAATTCCTACATCATTTCAAGGAATGTAATATTCAAGAGATTGGTCAGAAGAGCTGTTTAAAGTTTGAACCCCTTAAATATTAATTTTACTTTTTGTATATTTCGCCGAATCTCGATAACTTTCCAAGCGTATTTGAACATTTTTGCACACAAATTTTAATAAAAATTCCCAAGACTCTATGCATCAAATTTTGAATGTCTGACTTTATTATAAATCGATTTCTCAGGAGCTATTCAAACGATTTTACTCAAATTTTGTATTTTGCCATGTAAAATTACATTCTTAATAAAGGGTTGTAAAAATTGTATACCTTATAATTCAAATTTTTAAAAACTTTTATTAAATATAATAAGATTAAATAGTGAAAAATAAAAAAATGTTTACTGAAAGTTATTTTTTGCATGGAATTATGTTTGGATAAGCAAATTGTATAATTATGTGCAGCAATTTTCCAATTCGCTTAAAAAGTATTCGAGATAAAGTAAAATGCGCTAAAGTGAATCAAGTTTAAGGGGTTCAAACTTTGGAACCCTATTTCCCAGATTGCGGCTGCACCCTATATTTTGGGCGTCATAAATCTAAAGCCATTGAAACAATGTTTGTTAATTCAGAGGTAGTACGTTTTTGTGCCTGCACTTATTAATTAACATGTTCGAAGTCACCCACTTGAGCCATTACTATTGAGTCCTAGAACATTAAAATCCGGTCATTAGATAAAAAGTTATTCAGAATAGTTCGTTTTTTTTTCCCACACTGTACGTTGTTAAAGTATGTTACATTGATTTTTGAAGAGTGTAGCAGTGAGAGTGTATTATTTTTAGCACTGAAGTTTAATATAAAGCGAAGTCAAGGTTCTATCGCCATAGGTGGCTTGAAACTCTCCCAGCTTCTGATCAATGGGTTGCTTTGGAAAAAAAGGTGATCAGCGCGCTATACTGATAACCTTATCACCCATCAAAAAATTGTCCACTAAATTGTGAAGCCGACAGGGAGAATCTTTTTCTTATTTTAAAATTATTAATTTTATTGCATTTAAAAATTTATTTATTTATAAATTATACGCATTTAAAAATTTGTGATGTTAGAGATAAATTACTTTATGAAAAAACACAAAAAATCAGTTTCAACTTTATAAAATTTTAATTTCCAAAAAGGAGAATTTCACCTTATCTATATTCATCCATTATTAATATCATGTAAATAAATTTTACTGTTCAAGCAAATTTAATTGCTTCTTCATTGATGTTTTTCTTAAAATTCGTAGGTTCTTTTCGATCCAAATAACGTAGAAGATTCAGAATGTTCAAAATCTTCCCATGAGAATTGTAAAATAGGGGAAATGACTAGAAAGCATGGAGAAGCAGCTGTTGGAGCCACTAATTCTCGATATTCTAAGAGGTATAGTTGATTGATTTAGAAATAAATCTTTATATATATATATATATATATATATATATATGTTTCACAGCGTCGGCGCATGGATTCACGAACCCGTTCAAATTGGCCAGGAGTGTCACGGACACGTGCTGCCGCTTCCGCGATCCTGGCGATAAGATCCATGTCCGATGTTACAGGTGTCTCGTACACTATGGACTAGAAGTCGCCTTAAGCTAGAAATCCCCCAAGTCTATGTAAGCCGCAAGCTGATCTCTGTGCACGACGAGGAAGCAGTGGGGATTTCCCGGGAGAGAGCGTGATGGAGAACGAACCAAAAAAGACGTGATGATATGCACTCCAAAGAGGAGTTATACAAAACTTTTAGACGAACTCTCATTTATTATTTTTTTGTTATTTAATCGTTAATTGTTAATCGTCCGTCCAATGTAAATTTAATCTTCAATATATATGTTTTTGTTTAAGAACGTGTCTTTTATTTAAGACGACCACTCATGCCGTCCCCACATATAT